TAAAAAAAAAAAAAAAAAAAAAAGCAAAAAAGGGGCTATTATTTTTTGTTAGTACCTATGCCAGAGAACATCAATTTCCCTTCTAACCAATGCATTTAAATTTCTCCCATTTACCTTCAGTATCACATGTAAATAGGCCACACAAAAGCTGTCACCCTTTCCTGTGTAGCATTCATCTTAACAGTGGTTCATACTGCCACAGTCAGAAAGGAGAAATCTGGAGCAGGAATTTCTTAGAGACTAGAGTTCTAGCTGTGACAGTGTAAGTATCAGCAACTAAAAAGCTAGACCTTATGAAATCTAATTAAATTAAAGTTGGTCTGCTCTTCTTTACTGTAAGAACATCCCACAAGTGTATGTCCTGTTCCACAAGCCAGCTTTTTTCATTAGGAGAATTTTTTCCCCCCTCTTGTAGGTTTCTGGGGCAGGTATGATGTTTTTGTTTTTTGCTCTGCAGTGCCTAGCACAGATCCATTGATGATCTGGTAAATCTAGGTGCTATGATATAAATACAGGAGAACACGTGAGAATTCAGTTCACACTGCCAGATTATTTTGCAGCCAGTGCCCAAATATGCACTTCAAATGGTAGATGTTATGATTCCTCTCTCACAAACATGCCATAGGTGGACTTAGTATCACTGCCTAAGTCACCAATATTCCCATTCTAAGACCCTGTTTATTTGATGTTTGGCACTGTTAACAGTTTAGGGCTGAAGTCCTCCTAGAAGTCGGCTTCATACTGTATTTTTAAAAAGTGTTTTGGCTAAAGCAGGTCCACTGTTTTTGTGAATGAATTTAAGGAAAATTTTAAAAGGTATTTTAAATTTAATGTAAAGATATTTCTCACATGCCACCACCTCCCCTCAGGATGTACCACCTTGTTTTTAAGAGGCAGGATGAATTTTAAAAAATCCTTAAAGAAGCCAAGCAACAGCAACTAGGGAGCCAAGCCTGAGTCTGACCCCATGCACAGAGTGACCTCACATGCTGGTCCTGCCCACAGACCAACCCTGGGTATTGGCCAAATCCAGTGCACAGGGCTACATCATTTGGCCTAGGGATTCCCTATGAGCCCAAAAGTTTGCCACCACTCCCCGTGCTCCCCTGCAATAATAAACGTTGCCACTACCCACCTTCAGCCAAGTTTCCAAGCATGGGAGGGGGAGAGGAAGAGGGGGACAGGAAATCTGGTTCTCTCACATATAACACATCAAGTTTCACCAGCTTATTTTAGTGAAAAAGGTGTGGGTTGTATGCAACAAAATACAGTACATCACTTTGCTCATTAAAAACTCTTCAACTGGTTTATTAAGAAGCCCTAGCACCCTTAGACTTTAAAGCACTTGAGATGTGGTAGCAGTATGTCATACAGATGTGCTTTTTTGCTGAAGGTCAACACTGAAGTCAAGTCATAAAGCTCTGAAAAAAGTCTAGTAGACTTCACAGAAATTGGTACCTAAATCCCAATTCCATCTGCATTAGATATGCTCCTATATGCTTATTGGATTACACATGGGCTCAAACTCAATAATTCAAAGGCTGAGCAGGATTTCTCCTGCAAGTGCTGCTTCTGCATGGTGCTAGGAGCACTGCTTCCTCTCAGTGCTGTTGAGGCAATGTAGAAACTGCCTAACCACTCAGCAGGAGGACAAGAGATAAATCATAGAAGTGGGCATACCAAGACAAGTAGCTGAGGAAGCCTTGGATACAAACAATGAATAGTCCACACCAGTCACTCACAATACCAGAACTAGGGAACACACAACAAAATGAAAAAGCTCTTTCAGGTAGCATGCATGCTGAACTCATTACCAAAGAGTATTCTGGAACTTCATCGTTCCGCCAGGTTCAAGAGGAGACTGGAAAAATTCATAGAAAAATTGAGTATTACATACACCATTGAGTATTACATATTAGAGCAGGGATTTTCAACCTTTTAGCAAGTGCACCCCTTCTGGTGGCAAGGGCCAGATGCGGGGTAGGAGGTGGGGTGCTTGCATGCAGCAGCTGCCACTACCACCCCACTTCCCCACAGCCAGTTGCACATAGGGCTCTATAGGCTGTGAATGGGCCTCATGCCCAGCCAATTGCGCACCACCCATCAGGAGCCTGTTCTGCCACATGTGCAACCTACCATTGGAAAGTGCTGTGGGGTGGTGATAGCTGTCATGTGCAACTCCCTCCACCCCCCCCTTCAGGACAAATGGTACCTGTGCAGCCTGCAGTGGGGTGCTGCTGCCCTCATCCACCCCCAGCCCTGCTCCTTGGACACACTTATCCCCACCATTGAGACCCTCACAGCAGCCTGGCAGCGAATCAGGAGAGCAAGCTGGAGCAGGGGGCCGGGAAGCGCTGCGGTGTGCTGCGTGGGGCTGGTGTCCTGGAATCCTGCAGCCTAAGCTGTGCACACAATGTATCGAGAGAATTTTATATTTTCAAGAATCAGGGTAATCAAGTCAATCTCTTGCTCATTCTCTGGTTAAATACTTGTGCCAAAGTAGATACTAGTTTTACTCCACTAGTTCCTGCTCCAAAAAGATTATAAATTATGTAGCCCCACAGAATTCATGAGTAATTCTGTAGTCAAGAGTATAATTTGAAGTCTTCAGAAAAGGTCCAAGTCAAAGCCACTCATTCAATGGACACTATACAACAATAAGGTATATGGATCATCTAAAGAAAATTGGAGTAAGGCACAAGGCCATACAATTAAGACATCAACCCAGCTCTGGCTTTTTTTAGGCATATACAGCTGAGCATTTGAAAGGATTTTGCATTAAGCCACTAGAATAGCCTTTCCAGAAGTCTCAACAACATTAGTTACTATTATTAAAACACTTCCAAGAGTCAGAGATTCAACTGCGAATATGGTTGAAGAATCATCTATCTATGCATCGGCATGCATTTTGATTTTGGTTATCATTTTGTTTATAAAAATTTCTATCAAAGCAGTTTTAAAGGAGAAAAAAATAGAGATTCTAGTCAAGATGCCCACTTGCTGTATTTGAAAACTACCGAGACTTTCAAAAAGACTAAAAAAACCAAATGAAAGACCCCCTCCACTGTAATTTAGCACAATATAGGCATCATTAGAACTTCCTACTCAACTCAAATATCCAATACCTTCTCCACTCATTAACCAAAACACTACCAAATCAGGGTAATGCTTAACTGCACACTTCACATAAGACAGGAAAGAATTATGGTCAAGAGGACAAAAATTACTTGAGAATCTATTTATAATGGAGCCACTTAAGAATATTTTTGCTGTACTTGTTGATCCAAAGCCCAGATCTGTCCACATCTAAAGCCCATTTTCTAACTGGAACAAAGACAAAACTCCTGCCTTTCTACACACAGGGATTCAAAAATCCAAATTATTCTTCATGTTTGGTGTGAAAAAGTACTCAAACCCACTTCAACCCAAAGTCTTATTTACTTCATACCGGTAATTTGAGTTTCCAGAAGTGGGGAAAACGCATTTAAAATGTAGCCAGTGGTAAAGCAATACAAGAAAAATACTATGCAAGTTTGTGCTACATCTCAGAAAAAACTGAGTAACAATTTAGGCACTTCTCAATTGTTTCAGTCAAAGGGGCCAAATTTTTATTATAGATGCAATATTTCCTGAATTCTTCCCTCAGTCCAAAGCAACAGCTAAGACATCCCTACAACGTGTAATTTTTAAATGGATACCCTTGGCAGAATTAAAATTTCCAAAAAAATTGAAGGTAAAAAAAAAAAATTTATGAATGTGTTTTTTGCAGCTCACACGAAGATCACAGATGCCCATCCATCAAAAATGAAGAACCATACACTTATCAATCTGAAAAACTTTTTTATTTTTTAGTTTATTTTTTGCATTTGAAGTACTCTTCGATGACATCTTTGGCCTGAGATTCCTTGCCATAGTCCTATAACACAAAATGAACAGCATACAAACCATTAAAAAAGTAAACACTTGTTCAGAATTACTATATCTGGTTTACACTAATTATTCATTAAACCCCATCCCCCCCACAACCAAAATAACCTAAATGTACCCCCGTTGTCAGCAAAAGGCAGTAGTGCTGTGTTCCCATGATGGTATTATATTCCCTGAGCAAATGCAAAGCTGGAATACTGTTTTTCCTCTCTCCCCTCTGTTCCCTGATAAATACTTAACAGTGATGGCTATTATATTTAATTGAAGTACAAGACCACTTGCTATTTATCATACCTGAGCTAAACTTAAAATAAAATTTAAAAAAAAAAGTGAAACCCCCCCCCCTTTTTTTTTTTTTTTTTTTTTTTTTTTTATTTTTTTTTTTTTTTTTTTTTATTTTTTTTTTTTTTTTTTTTTTTACACACAGAAACCATTACGAGCTTTGCAATTAATAAAGAGAAAAATGTTTGAAATGTCGTTACCCTTCTAATGTAAAGAAGTGTAGCCATTTTCAGGGACCTCAAAGACTAGCAAATCTTTAAGGCTCGTACTGTGGCTTTATTATTGCCAGTGTAATCATAAATAGTTCTGCAGAACACATTCAAGTTAAGCAGACATAATTTACTGGCATTTGCAATTTAAAACAACCCCCCCGAAGAACCAAGTGTTTTTCTCCAATAAATGATGGTATTAAATTAGTTTTCTGATCCAGCTGATATTATTTTGGAAAATGCATTCAATTATTCCAAACCTGAGAAAAGATTTTATTGAGCTTCTATTATAAATAGTAACAAATCAGCAGTCAAAGATTCAATTTAAAGTTGAAGAAGTGGATCCTATTACTAAAGCCTATACTAGTAAGTTATAAAAAGAATCTCGTATGCCTAATTTACAACAGGAAGCATTAATTTATTTTTGGCAGACAGGAAGTTTCACGGCTACAACGGGCTTCCAAAGTGACAACCCCCCCGCCATTTTAGTTACATTATACAATTTTGAAACTAAGTGGAATAATGTGTTATCTTACTTTGACAACCACACAACTGCAGCCCACTACTTTGCGGGGTTTTCCTTCTCTGTCAATTTTGCAGAGACCTACCCACTCGCCCAATTTCTTGTTGTCATCAACCTGTTGAAGACATTGCACAAGTTAGAAAAGGCACTTTTCTTGACACATCAGAACAGAATTAAAAGCTGCTGTACACTCAGAAATAGTGGGTAACGTTTGTGGCTGCTTTCCTCACAATTATCAGTAGAGGGAGCCAAACTATCATCATCGTACAGCCAGAACATGAAGGTGACTAATTTTACAATAAAAATGGTATTTAAAAAAGTGTTCCTGCTAATGAGATCCCTTTCATAGACAGAAGTGACAATAAAATAATTCTGATATACAAAATAAATATTTTATGTAAAACATTTCTCAATTCTTCCTTTTTGTCATTTACTTTACATATGGTCTTGCACTATTAGTCTGCGCTGTTCACACAGCAGGAGTGCACTGTTATTACAGTAAGAATGATTTTGATTAAGTAGAGAAAGGTAGTTAACTGCATAAATCTGAAGTCAGGCAGAATAGATTTGTACCTTGTAGACTAACTAAATCAGAAATACATAACTGTTTTTAAAGCAGCTTACTTCAAATACACAGCACCAGAACATTTATGGCACCACATGGTCTTGGTGGCCACAAAGTAAAAACCAAAGAAATATTATACAAGCAATTTATAATTTCATTCAAACTCAACTCCCCAATTACAATCAAGTCAGCTATCAAATTGAATGCTTTTGTTAAATTTTATTGGCAAAGTACAAACACATCCAAGTATAACTACCTCAACATTTGCACCCAAAATTGATACTCACTTTTATCAAGTTGATTTGGTGTTCTGCACAAAGTGCTTCAACCAGCTTCACATACATTGGTTCATCGCAGTTTGACGCAAGAACACAAAGGTGGGCTTGGCGTCTGAAACAGAAATATTGATAGAACTTAATACCGTACTTACTATTCCTATCAAATCACAAATTAAAGTATTTAATTAAAATTATTATAAAAGTGTATTCTGACATTTCTGAAACTCTTAGACTTTGCTTGGAAGAAAATTATCATGAATAAGTTAGTTTTTGTCAAATTCAACCTGAACCTCAAAGTAAGACCATCAGATTCATGGATCCGGATAAATCCGGCACATAGCCCAAAACCATTCATTTAAATTAGGGAGCTGTCAGGGGAGGGTTGGGGCACGCCTCATAAAGAGGTCCAATCTCTCCTGATTGTCCCCACCAAAAAAAAATGGACATTAGGAGGATCACAGCCATTAGACCCCGCCCTGATTCCAGCAGATGAAGCAACATCCTCCACCAGGACACCATTATGGGCAACACTGGGATGGGACAGGCCCTTAGCTATAATTTTTCTAAAGAATACTTACTGGTATCATAACCCTATGGCACACAGAACCCATGTTTTTATTCAACTTGTTATATTAGCAAGCTAGGTAGCATCAAAAGCAAACGTCATTGCTTTAAAGTAGAGATGGCTGACCTATAATACAGGTGTTATAGGTGGCATGGGCAGCTGGTGTGGCATGGAGCAGGTGGGGGGAGGGGACAGGCAGCAGTGACAGATAGGGGAGGAAACAGAAAGCAAAGCAGCAAATTAGGCAGGGAGCAGAGCAGCAAATCAAGCAGGGATCAGAAAGTAGGGTCAGATTGGGCATGGGCAGAAGTGGATCAGAATACTACATGAGGGCACAGGGCTCGTAAGTGGCATGCCTACCAAAAAGGTTGAGAAATTTTAATTCCAAATTGTGTCCCTCCTTCCCGCAATTTTTCATCATCTTTGCTGGCCTAGGGCCTTAACTTACAGGTTTGTCAGACTATTGCTCTCACTCATAGAATGAGTGAAGGGGTATCCGACATCCTGAAGAGTCATCATTCAAACACTGTAAGTGCCATTTGAGTCTTGAAAGCTAGTAAGCCTACAACTGTTAGTAAGTTACTTACACCACGCCCTTCTCTACCTCTCCTTGTAAACCAAGAATGTGCATATATACATTATTTGGTACCTCAGAAATTCTAGGTTTCCATTTTATGTTGTCTTGATCTACCATAACACTTAATATATGTGAATTCACCAAATAAAAACAATTTAAAAAGCTAAAAACTACCAGAGAGCTACAGACAGCTCTGCCTACCCTAGAAACACTTAATTTAAGCATATCTTGTCTCAAACTGAAGGTAGACTACTTGACCCCAAACCAGATAATCCCAAAGGACACACTGCTACTTTTTAATCACGTTCAAAGGTACTTGCCTGGGTAGGCCCCTACTGCGAGAACTATATAAACTTGGAGCCCTTTCAAAAGAAGGTTTTTAAATGGGCAGCAGCTAGTGCTGGCACATTTTAATTACTGCATGTGAATGACTTAAATGAAGCCTTAAATATAACCGCAACCTTGGAGATAGCACTTCTCTTCTTCAGAAGTTGCAACAGGCTGTGCAGAGTCCACTTGGAAGAACTAGAGCAGCGTATACCTGGATTTCTTAAAACACCAAACGCTGATGCTGCTCCTTTCCTTCTTCCAAGAGATCTTTGCTTTTATGTACCCGTTATACATCCCCCTCTCCCCATATCCTGCATAAAATCTGTCTTCCATGGGTCACACCTGGTGAAACCAGTTTTAACAGCTCTGCAGCACTAAAACGAAAGCAATAAGCACCCCCACTTCCAACCATGACCTGGCGGCATGACTAGCCCCAGCCCCATGAGGGCAGCATCCATCTGCAGACAGCACTCACTTGTCCAAGGCTTTGGCGGCCTCACGAATGCCCCGTGCCAGGCCATCGTGGATCAGTGCGGTCTTCAGCACTTCTTGCAGGGCAGTGTTGACGTCCATTACACCTCCAGCAGTAATGCTGCGCGGGCAGGTGGGTTACA